CACGGTTGTATCATTTTCTGTTTTTTCGTTTAAAGAAATATTTTCAACTTTAGCAATTATATTTTCTTTCAATTCTAACTCTTCAAAATCATCTCTTAAAGTAAGAACTTCTTCTAATGTAATGTTTTCTTTTAATGTAATTTTCTGCCTAATATTTTTGCTGATTGACAAAATTCTTACTTTTTCAATAACTCTACTATCACTTAGTAAACATTCATTTTTTAAAATGCATAATCTACTTACCCAATCGATGTAACTTTCGTTTTTACCTTGTACAGCTGCATTAAATAATAATAAGTTGGAACTTGTAGATTTCCTCGGGTGTAATAACCTGAATTTTTCAATCAATATCGATGGATTGATGAAGTCGGTAGGTGAACATATCGATTTAAGCTTGATGTATACCTCATCTGGTAATCTTCTTGTAAAGGAACCCGCTTTTTCGATGTCCGATATCTGATTGTCCTTGAAGATGTCTTCAAATCTACTCAAAAAAAGATCGCCATTGCCTGCGTATATTGGAAATTCAATATTTATATTAACATTATTATTGGGAATCTGTTTCATATTTATTTATTTATTTACGACTTCCTCGAATAAGTAGCGGAACTGCCACCATAAAGTATCTTAGAATAAATGTGTCATCCATAAAGTATTTTTGAAGATTAGTTTATATAAAAAAATCGTTTATTTAAACTATTTATATTTTACATTCTTTTTTATACTAAAGACTTTGAAAAGGTTGCAGAAATCAAAAGCAGAAAATAAACGGTGTAAACGTAAATTTCGTAAATTTATTGATATTTAAATTAAAAAAAAATATAATGATCACATATTCAAAAATAGTTTGCTATATATATTGACAATGTAATTTATCATAAATTGATCTTTTTTTAAAAAGTTAAAAATAAAAAATTGAATATTAGTTTGTTAAGTAAATTGATTTATAAAATATAAAATTTAATATTAGTTTATAAACAAATTGATTTAAAATAAAAAAAGTTGTTTTTAACAAAAAGAAAGAAACAATTTTTATTACATTTGAAATATTTAAGTTACGCCATAAATGACAAGGATAAAAAAAAATAATTTTTTAAAGTTAATATTATTTAACATTTCCTCTTCATTAATTATAAATTTAATATCTCTGGGCTTGATTTTAAAATCATTAGGGAAGGTGGGCTTGAGAAAATCTTTTTAAATATTAAGATCTTGGATGCTTGGATATTTTATCCAGTTTAACCTATATTGGGATTTTTATTATTAAATGTTCGTCTTGGATGCTTGGATATTTTTTCCAGATATTGTAGGGTAGAACCTATATTAGGATTTTTTAATGTTAAATGTTAGTCTTATGTTATAAATTTAATATCTCTGGGCTTGATTTCAAAATTATTAGGGAAGGTGGGCTTGAGATATTCTTTTTAAATATTAATATCTTGGATGCTTGGATATTTTATCCAGATATTGTAGGCTTGAACCTATATTTTGATTTTTTAATGTTAAAGATTAGTCTTGGATGCTTGGATATTTTTTCCAGATATTGTAGGCTTAAACCTATATTGGGATTTTTTAATGTTAAATGTTAGTCTTATTTAATATCTCTGGGCTTGGTTTCAAAATTATTAGGGAAGGTGGGTTTAAGAAATTTTTTTTAAATATTAAGATCTTGGATGCTTTTTTCTTGAACCTATATTGGGATTTTTTAATGTTAAATGTTAGTCTTGGATGCTTGGATATTTTTCCCATGTTAAATGTTAGTCTTATGTTCTTCTTTTTATAAAGTAATATATTTTACCTGTTGACTAATTGGTAAATCAGATATTTCCTCTTCATTTATTATAAATTTAATATCTCTGGGCTTGATTTTAAAATTATTAGGGAAGGTCGGCTGACAAAATTTTTTTAAATATTAAGATCTTGGATGCGATATTTTATCCAGTTTTACCTATATTGAGATTTTTATTATTAAATGTTCGTCTTGGATGCTTTGATATTTTTTCCAGATATTGTAGGTAGAACCTATATTAGGATTTTATAATGTTAAATGTTAGTCTTATGTTATAAATTTAATATCTCTGGGCTTGATTTCAAAATTATTAGGGAAGGTGGGCTTGAGAAAATCTTTTTAAATATTAAGATCTTGGATGCTTGGATCATTACATTTATCATGTTATTTTTTAACTTTTAGAATATCATAATAGACTTGATTCGTCCCCCAAAAATTTTATTTGATGATAGCCCTCCAACTTATTAGAAATATGCATCTAATATTGACCCTTCTACCGGTTTTACATTATTTTAATGTTTGTTTAATTTCAACAATAGTATATTTATATTTTTGCCTGATTTCTTTATTTGTCTAGGCTAACCCTAATCCCTCACATTGCTACCAAACATGATGAATCTTTTATTAAAGATAAGCGAAGAAAAAAAATGGCGATTCAACAACCGCCTTACCCGTTCTATAGTTACTGGTGGCCAAGATAATAAGGCACTGTGAACTCCTCTGGAGGTTTATTTTGTTTTTTATCTAAAGTTTTATATCTATATGTTTATTTTATACACCCAGTTGCCTCCAAATGATATTTCTATCACCACTACCACAATCCCTATGCCACCTCTGCCTAATTTTTAACAAATAAAAGCATTTAATTCCACTATCATTTACCTCATTAGGAGTTATTATAAATAATACTTTATCCGATTCCCTGAGGAACTTTCATGAATATTTAGAGAGATGTTCAAACGTGAATGTGTAGTGCGGCCAATTTCATTAACATTATTAATGGGAAAATATGCGGTAGTTTTGTCATGGCCTTTATAACAATACTTACGACCGTTTTATGGTTGAGTTGACAATGTCGTTCATGATTTTATTTTAGAGGGGGATACCAAAACTGACACTTTGGCAGAAATATCATTTTGCGTTCTTCTTTTACCAGTAGCCCAGGGCCTCAGCTTTATCAGGACGCAATGGGTGTTTTTCACTGCTTTGGTAATCCGTCATTATTCATTACTTTCACCTACAACCCTAAATGGGAATATATTATACATTAATTTTTCCTTCTGCAGACGACTGAAAGGATTTGCTCTTAATTTTACCAGACACACAGAGTAATAATTATTCCTCATCATTTTTTAAATTACCTAAATTTATATGGCAAGAAAAACAAATTTCTTAAAAAATATATAAATAAATTGCATATAAGTTTCATTAGTATTGAATGGCATTTTTGTAATTTAAATAAATAGCATTTTTTTGTACTTAACAAAAGATATAGATAGCCCTTATCAAATTTTTTGATAAAAGGAGTTAACCCACTAATTGGTAAATCCGAGATTTCCCCTTCATGTGTTGATAAATTATTTAGAAATTTAACTATCTCCGGGTTTGGGAAATAGTTTTGAAACTTAATATGGGATGGACTGGGCTTGAAAAATATTCCTCAAGATTAATATTTGCTTGCACCTGACTTGGGAATATCTTATACAAATTATTATGGGCCGGGCTAGGAAACAATTTTCAAAATTATTATGGGTTGAGCTAGGCTTGAGAAATTTTTTTATAAATTATAAGGTCTTGAACGCGTGGAAATTTTTTCCAAATATTATGAGCTTGGACCTGGCTTGAAATTTTTTAATGGTAAATGTTAGTCTTATATAACCAGTAATATATTTACAAAGAATTTCGGTATTGGGTACAAGCTCATTTAAATATATTTTGACTCAAATAATAGTTTCCACTCTTAGTCCTAATGGGTTGGACTCAATGACATTGCTTGGACTTGACATAAATGGAAAGGGGGGGGGGGTTTAAAAATTATATAAATTGGATATGATTTTTAAATAAAAGGTAACATCTTTCTTAAAAAAACGAATAAAATTCTCATTCTCCGTCATTTTTGACGGGCTATCTACTAGTTTTAATTATTTTTGCAAAGAAAATAATTTTATATGGAAGGGTTTTAATTTAATCGTCAATATGTTTCATTAAATCCTCACAACACTGTAGTATAAATAAACAAATTATCTCAGACCTTAAATTGTGTGTTATTTTTATATATTATTGTAAGTGTGAAGGGTAAAAAGAATTATTAAAGTCCTCTTAAGTGAGGCGGCTGAATATAAAAAAAGGGAACCTAAGTCTTTTTAAGTAAGGCAGCTGAATATAAAAAAAAAGTGATACCAAACTCGTCTTAAAAAAGGCGGCTGAATATAAAAAAAGGATAACCCAATGCAGTCATCTAATCACTATAATTACTTTATTTTAAGTCTTTAAGTGAAGTGGCTGAATATAAAAAGAGATATAAAGTCCTCTTGAGTGAGGCGGCTTAATATAAAAAAAAGGATACCAGAGTCCTCTTAAGTGAGAAGGTTGAATATAATACCAAAATTAGAGGTAGGCAACGTTCTAAATAAATTCCGTTTTAAATAAATTCCAATTTAGTGATACTGACATTTATGACTGACGCGCATATATTAAATATAATATTTTTAGTGATACTGACATTTATGATTGACGTGTAAAGATCAAATATTATATTTTCTATTGTTATAGATATTTAAGTGAATCCCTGTTTTAAATAAATTTTAATTTAGTGATATTGACATTTATGACTGACATGTTAAGATCAAATATAATATTTTAGTGATATTGACATTTATGACTGACGTGTAAAGATTAAATATAATATTATTAATAATACTGAGATTTATGACTCATATGTAAAGATTAAATATAATATTTTTATTAATACAGACATTTATGAATGACGTGTATATAAAATGCAATATAAATAAGACATGTGTTATAAAGATATGCAATATAAACAAGACGTACGATATAAACAAGACATGCGATATAAATAAGACATACAATATAAATAAGACATACAATATAAATAAGACATGCGTTATAAAGATGTGCGGTGTAAATAAGACATGCGTTATGAAGATATGCGATATAAAGATAAGCGATATAAAGATATGGGATATAAATAAGATATACGGTATAAATAAGATATGCGATATAAATAAGACATGCGTTATAAAGATGTGCGATGTAAATAAGACATGGGTTATAAAGATTAATTAAAATTTATTATGCGGTCAAAATGTTCGCGATAATTTATTAAATATATATTCAAATTAAATTTTTTAATGTAACTTAATTTTTAATTGGTGTGTAATATGCCCATTTATAAATGGTATGGATAATTATATTTGTTTGAAGCATAGTTGCCAATGCAACTATCTCCACCTCTGTTCCATAAGTTGCATTTTGAGCCATGCGTGTTCTCTCCAAATATTTGTCAACGGGTTCTCCCAAAAACACCTCCATCTGCTCAACAATATCCTTGCTTCTCATAAAGAGAATGCATTGCTGTCTCAGAAAATCGTAGTGGCATTCGTCATCACAAACTTCTTTGCTTATACATCTACAATAATGATTAACAATAATTTATTTTAAATATGTATACCTGAAGAGACAATTTCCATCACCAATAATCCGCTCGGTAGAAAAATTATCTCCCATTACACCATTATCATTTTTTTGATATCTTTTCTTGATCGGAAAATGAAAACGTTCAGAATGATAAATTTTCCATATTCTGTTGGTGGGAAGAAATAGATTTGCATCATTTTTCTTAGAAATTACAGTCTCTACTGTCAATTCATTATCTAAAAAATATGCATAATTAATTAATAACACATATTAATATCTTTCTCAATTAACAGTCCTACTTTGTCAATTACAGCTGAAATATTAGGATTAGAAGGCATAACTAATAATTTAAAAAACAAATTATATCGATTTATAAAAATATTACTATTTTCTCGATGGCTACCAAGCTCTACCATCTTCGTTTCATCATTTAATATCTTTATCCTCTTAAAATCTGCATCATCTAAAAAATACATATAATAATAAATATTTTATATTTTTGGTCTTCACAATTCTTATTCTCCTCTCCAATAATCGTGTTGAGTAATTTTGAGACTAAATATTTAAAAAAATTAATGTGAGCTTTATAAATAATACCGTTCAAGTGATTTTCTCGAGCATTTAACTCCTCATTATAACTCACTACCTCAGAGTTTTTATCATCTAAAAAATATGTTTATTACTAAGTAATTAAGACAATTATATACCTTTTCTTGCAAAGTAATGTTTTATATTACAAATATTTGCTTTGCTCTTTAAAATGCTACCGCTAGCATTCATGAGCTCAATATTGCCTAAATATTAAAAATAATTTAATAATAATAATAAATTTTACTTTTAAGAATCCTAACTATTGTATAAGGAGGACCCATCTAAGGTTTAGTCATTTTACCACCTTTCCTATCAGCCCGACGGCTGTTCCAAATAAGCATTTGATCATTGACTAAATAAGGGTTATTTCTACCTGCATTACGACTACTATAATCCCTCTGCTGCTTAAGCTGAGCAAGATCTATATTACCAGCAGCTATTTCACGAATATCATTCATCCTGGAAACTGTATCTTTAAAAATAATTCAAAATATGCTTCAGGTACATTGTCAGGATCAATATCCTCTTCCTCGTCAACTTTAAATAGAGACATAATATATAGTATATGATTATAAAATGAGATTTATCATACCTCATAAGCTTGTTTTGCTTTTCTACCATACATCAGCTGATATGGCGTAAACTTCGAAGATTCGTGTAGAGAAGTGTTATAGGCAAATATTATGCCAGGCAAGGCATCTGTCCAAATTAATTGATCATCCTTAATACACTTTAGTAGTGCATTTTGGATTGTCCTATTCACTCTTTCAACCATGCCATTTGCTTGAGGGTGATAAGCACTTGTCACCCTCTGCATGGTCCCTATGAGTTTGTGAAAATTATTACTTATTTCATTTACGAATTCACGTCCTTGATCATTAATTTGAATCTATATATAATATTAATATTTTATTACCAAATTTATTATACTTTTGCCCTACCATGTGTGCATAGTAACGAGTAAAGGAATCGCGATATTGATTTTGCTGTTTTATCTTTTAAAGGCATGGCTACAATATATTTGCTGAAATAATCAACTGCTACAGCAATGTATTTATAGCCATCCTCACTTTCAGGCAAAGCAGTTAAATCAACACCTATTTGTGTCCATACCTTTTGTAAAATAAAAGATTGTTGTTATATTATATACTCCATTAGGAGGTTAGGTGTCATGTAATAAAGTAAAGCTGCTTACCATTATTTATGATTGCAGCTGAAATAAAACATAATAATAAAGAATAAGGTAAAATCTAAATTAGCTAAAAAATGAAATTATGATATATATATCAATTTTTACCTGAGATTGAAGGGGACTATATTAATTTTATTTATTATATTTTCAGATTATAAGTTTTAATTAGTAGATTATATGCAAATTATATTTTTATTTTGGAATGTTATATTAACCTTAAAGAAACTAAAAATGAATATATGATATATTTCTTGTAAAAAAATTCAATAAAATTTAAATGGTTCAATATATGAAACCAACATAACTAATAAAAACAAGTGCCACATACATATAAGCTATAATAGACAGATCATTAATAAGGCTACAATGAAAAATATAAAATACATAAACAAAAATTAGAAACAATTATAATGACCAAATTATAAAAATTTTCAAATTAAAAATTTGTTATGTAATCAACTTTAATATCTTTGTTGGAATAGGAATTGAATGCAACTCATTGTTAGTTTTGTCAAATCTTGTGTTGCTACGCTGGCAAATATCACAACATTTTACAAAATTAACCACATCCAATTTCATATTTGGCCACCAGAAGCTAAAAATATAATACACGATATAATAAATAGATTTATTATGCAGAAATATTTTACCTACTAGTCAAGTTGCTGTGAGTCTTGGTGATACCAAAATAATCAGCTAAAGATTTTGTCTCATTAGTATCACATCCACTCCACTATAACTTCTTAAAGAAGTTAAACTCTTCTGTTACAATCTAAAATTGTTTCACTATTATAAAAATGGTGAAACAATTTATTATTGTGTATTATATTTAAAAATATATTATTGATCATATAATATTATAATTTTTATATATTTTACCTATCAGCCAATTTGCTGTAAGTCTTGGTGATGCCAAAATGGGCAGCAAGAGATATTGCTGACACATTAGTATCACATCCACTGTGAACCATTTGAAGAAGTTGAATTCTTCGGTCAAGGTCCAAAACAACTTCACCATTATGAGAATGGTGATACATTTTACCCTTACAAATTTTATATCTCGAGGCCTGAACTCGCAGATTGCGTCTTAAGCCTTTATTGGAAGACAGAGATGATGGATATTTTTGGTAAAGGATATAATCCTGTATCTCATCGAATTCTATTAAAATGAATAGAAATATACTAAACAAAATTTATTTACTTGATTTATCGTCTTTCGTCATTTGATTGGAGAAACAAAAGATAATTTTGGTATCAAATACAACTGAATGAATAAAAAAATAATATATATAATAAATGGCCCAAAAACATATCCAAAAATTTAATTTATAGTATTCAATGAAAATAAAGAATATTTCAGTGTATTTAGGCAATCATTTTGTTTGCAAACTGAAATTTATCTTATAGGGTATACTTAAAATAAATAAATATTCTATTAAAATTGCTAAAATTTATTATTAGAAAAATTTACGATCATTTACTTTGCAAAGTTGAGTATTGGTAGAATAATAGGTTTTTATGCCATTTAATATACTTTATCTAAAATTAATTAAATTAAGATATTAGAAGGATATATTATTTATTACTTTGCAAAATTTGTAGCCCAGCAATATTTACAATTGATCTTGATATAGTAGGTATAATCAAAATAAATAAATATTCTATTAAAATTGCTAAAATTTATTATTAGAAAAATTTACAATCATTTACTTTGCAAAGTTGAGTATTGGTAGAATAATAGGTTTTTATGCCATTTAATATACTTTATCTAAAATTAATTAAATTAAGATATTAGAAGGATATATTATTTATTACTTTGCAAAATTTGTAGCCCAGCAATATTTACAATTGATCTTGATATAGTAGGTATACTCAAAATAATTAAATATTCTATTAAAATTGCTAAAATTTATTATTAGAAAAATTTAAAATCATTTACTTTGCGAAGTTGAGTATTGGTAGAATAATAGGTTTTTATGCCATTTAATATACTTTATCTAAAATTAATTAAATTAAGATATTAGAAGGATATATTATTTATTACTTTGCAAAATTTGTAGCCCAGCAATATTTACAATTGATCTTGATATAGTAACTCAAAATAAATAAATATTCTATTAATTGCTAAAATTTATTATTAGAAAAATTTACAATCATTTACTTTGCAAAGTTGAGTATTGGTAGAATAATAGGTTTTTATGCCATTTAATATACTTTATCTAAAATTGATTAAATTAAGATATTAGAAAGATATATTATTTATTACTTTGCAAAATTTGTAGCCCAGCAATATTTACAATTGATCTTGATATAGTAGGTATAATCAAAATAAATAAATATTCTATTAAAATTGCTAAAATTTATTATTAGAAAAATTTACAATCATTTACTTTGCAAAGTTGAGTATTGGTAGAATAATAGGTTTTTATGCCATTTAATATACTTTATCTAAAATTAATTAAATTAAGATATTAGAAGGATATATTATTTATTACTTTGCAAAATTTGTAGCCCAGAAATATTTACAATTGATCTTGATATAGTAACTCAAAATAAATAAATATTCTATTAAAATTGCTAAAATTTATTATTAGAAAAATTTACAATCATTTACTTTGCAAAGTTGAGTATTGGTAGAATAATAGGTTTTTATGCCATTTAATATACTTTATCTAAAATTGATTAAATTAAGATATTAGAAAGATATCTACTTTGCAAAATTTGTAAGACAGAAATATTTACAATTGATCTTGATAGATTCTTCATATCATATCATATCATATTATACACTGGGGAGACATCCCACAATTAAGTGGGCACTCCACCACCCCATAGAGGGCGTCTCCAGTGCAGTGAATTTGCATTCACCGTTTGGCAGAAAATTTACCCTACTGTCTGGGTCCCGTTTAATTTGAGTGGGATGACGGGTACCACTCGTGGATAAGCCAGGATCCACAAAGTTGACAGTAATTTACCCTACTGTCAGGGTCCCATTTAATTTGAGTGGGATGACGGGTACCACTCGTGGATAAGCCAGGATCCACATTGTAAATAATGTTTATTTATTAAAAAAAATAAGATAGGAATATGTATTAGAAAAAAGGGGGGGGGATGATTAAGGAGTAAAGAGGAAGAAGAATTAGTTTTTGTAATTTATTTATTTATTTTTTTTGTTTTGTTTTCTCTTCTTTTTTTTTTAAATATTATTGGTAATAAGAGATTCTTGTGTTAAAATAATGTTAAAATCATATTGATCAAGGAGTTTCCTAAGTATAGTTGTTTTTGAAAGTAGGCCAGGAATGTTGTAGGAGTAGATTGTTAGATTTTTGAAAATTGACATAATATAAATTTTAAAGTAAATTGTAAGATAAATTTGAATTTTGAAATAGAAAAAAAATGGGGAAAAAATAAGCAGACGATACTTGGAAAATTGAAAAAGCAAAAAGCAGACAAGAGAAATGATAAATAAGAAAATATCCATGAAATTGAGTTTTAAGAGAGGATTAAAGTTAAATTTTGTTTATTAAATGTTGATTTATATTATTTTGTTTAAATTAAGTTAATAAGATTAATATATAGAAAAAATAAATTGTTAAAGGAAATAAATAATTGAAATAAAAGATAAATAAATGGTTTATAATGGTACTTGCTAAACTTTATAGTAGCTTAGGTAAAGAATTGGAGAAGATAAGAAAGAATTAAGTTATGATGAATTGATTGAGATAAATTAGTAAATAAAGAAGAGAATTTATTTCTTTGAATCTAGAAAAAATAGAAAAATTAATGAATAAAAGTAATAACTTGACAGAGATATATTATGGGTTATGTATAATCCTCAGCAATTAAAAAAGAGTCTCATTACTCTCCCAAACATCTTCCATGCATTTGAAAGAATTTACTAGAGTTTTGATTCAGAAGAGTAGAAGTCAGGCTTTTCATGTCATAAAAAATGTATGTAGTCGCAAAGTAAATATTTAAGGAATATAGTGTGCTTGAAAATGAAATTGTGAGTGCGATTTAACATCAGCCATTTTCCCGCAGACGAAAAAAATCGATAGATTCTTCATAAATCTGATTTATACGTACTCCCACTTCAATCAAATATGTCAATATCACTAAAATAAATAAGGTTAAATCTTAACATGTCAGTCATAAATGCCAATATCACTAAATTAGAATCTATTTAAATCGGGAGTTCATCTAAAACGTTACAATCCATATGTAACCCTAACATTTATCTCTTGGCCTAGCTTGTAAAATTCTTCACTTTTTGTTGCATTTAAAGATTGAAGATCTTTACAAATAAAAAAAAACTGACTTTTCTGTAAAAAATTTAAGCAAAATTTAGCATAAAGTCTAGCGATAACAAACTAAACATAAAAAGAAAATAGAACTAACAAAATGATACCGGATGTTGTTTATAAAATGTGGAAGATTTTTAGTTTTTATTCTTTTTTAAAAAAGAACTAAATTAAATAAGAAAATATATAATGTAATTATAAAATTGCAAATTTATATTTATAAAAAAACAATTTTAAAATTTAAATTTCCATAATTCACGGGAAATTTATGTTCACGCCCGATCATGCCCGGGGAAAATTTTGGGAAGGCAGTCACGCCCTGTCACGCCTTGGAATTTAAAATTTATTCACACTCACGCCGTGACCCACCATGACACGATGGGTCACGCGTAATTAGTTCTTTTTTAAAAAAGAATAAAAACTAAAAATCTTCCACATTTTATAAACAACATCCGGTATCATTTTGTTAGTTCTATTTTCTTTTTATGTTTAGTTTGTTATCGCTAGACTTTATGCTAAATTTTGCTTAAATTTTTTACAGAAAAGTCAGTTTTATTTTATTTGTAAAGATCTTCAATCTTTAAATGCAACAAAAAGTGAAGAATTTTACAAGCTAGGCCAAGAGATAAATGTTAGGGTTACATATGGATAACAAAATATAAAAGTTGTGAACTGAAAAACTCTCATGAATACTATAGGTCCAAAAATATACCATGAAATAAAATTTAAGATTAAAAGCATGATATATAATATACTTGTGCATAATCACTGATATTTGGACGTATGACTATAAAAATCTAAGTTTTTTTAACCATTATAGGACATATTATCATTAAGGATTTTAAATTAAAACATTTGTTTTGACCACAAGGGCAATGGATGAAAAAAACGTCAAAATTAAAAGTGCAGTTATTTCAATTTTAGGAGAATATACAAAAGTAGAAAATTACTTAAATAAATGTATAGTTGTGAGTAGTGTTGTTAAACGGCTCATTTTGAGCCGATTTTTTAAAACGGCTAACTCAATATTTTAGCCAGAAAAATATGCCTAAACCTCGAGATTTCGTCAATATATGTCTAAACCTTTGTTCCTTCTATGAGCAAAATCTTCAGGTTTGCGTAATATTTTTCTGGATGGAATATTGAGTTAGCCGTCTTTAGAAATCGGCTCAAAACGAGCCGTTTAACAACACTAGTTGTGAGTGATAACGAAGCAAATCTTATAAGTGCATTCAAAGATGACGAAACGCTAGTATGTATATGCCATATACAAATAATATTATGCATTATGTTTTTGACAATTGTTTAATTGAAATAGCCTTATATATAAATGGTGTAAAAAAAATGGTACAATATTTCAAACACAGCTAATAGCAAACTAAGCCACACCCTTAAATAATATGTAATAGCGAGAATAACAAGATGGAACTCTGTATATATCATAATACCGTTTCTTAAAATCATATTCTGAAATACAGGGGTACTTGTTTAGCAAGCAAGAATTAAATAGATTAGCCACAATTGATATCAGCATCATAAGCGAGTTATATAAATTTTTATCAATATTTAAAGAATGCTCGGATAATTTGAGAGCAGATTCTCGTCCCACAATAAGTGAAGTTTGTCTATGGAAACAAAAATTAGTAAAATTTTGTTCACCTTCTGAACGTGGTACAATAATAAACAAAACCTTAAAATACAGAACAATTTTTAAAAGATTATTATGCAGCCACTACATAAGGTAGGCTTAATTCTAGATCCGAATTTAAAGAAGAAAATGATATATATAAAACAATCTTAAAAATGCTAAATGATATAAAATTAGATGATATGCATAAGTCAATGCCAATTATCATTTATAGCTTTACTAATTTATCCTAAACTCATAAAAAAACGTATATTCTAAATGGTCAATACCAACTATCACTTTCCTAATTCATCCTACACTCATTAGAGAATTTCTAGATGATTCTGATGAAGCATCAACATCACCGATGAAGGCTGTGAATGAGATAAATAACAAAACAAAATTTGAAGTTTTGGAAGCAGGAATATTCATTTCCTTTTTTGAGAAAATTATCGAGTAAAATTTTGTCAGCTGCAAGTTCGGCTTCTAGTGAAAGGTTATTTTCTGTAGCCATTCTCTTATTAGAGGAAAGGCGTATACAATTGAAATAAAAATGGACATTCTTCTTTTTCTAAATAAATTTCAATTTATAAATTATATTTATTTTTTGTTATTAATATGGATTATGAAATTAGAGAAATAAATAGAATGAATTCAAAAAAGTGTAAAATTATAGCAAAAGTTTTGAAAAATTTAAAAACACCGTGAATTTTCGGGCGTGACGATGAATCAAAATATTGCTTGTCGTGAGCGGGCGGGTCGGGTCGAAAATTTTTTAGTGGTAAGCGTGAATGGGCGTTAATTTTATTTATTGCCACCGTGAGCGGGAGGGCCGTGAATGAAATATTAGGCCCGCGCCCACCTCTAACCAAAATCTTCTTAAGTGAGGTGCCTGAATATAAAGAAGGGATACCAAACTTCTCTTAAGTTATATTTTAAACAATATATATATTAAAAAAATTTATTAGACATTGATTAAACCATAAATAGAAATATATAGTATATAATTATCTAAAAATACATAATATTTTTTAACATGTTTTTAAAATGTTAAATTACTATAATTTATAGCTGTCAATATCTTAATTATTTCGTAATATATTTGTTTAATGAGTCCTATTCTTGATCAGACTCGAACTAATGAAATATTTCATTATAATTTGTTATTTTCAAAATACGGGAAAAAGGACATTTTATATGGAACTGCAGGATTTCGAACCAAGTATTTGTAAAAATATATGTTGTATATTTTATTCCCAATGTACCCCTATTTAAATTATTTCTTATACTTTACCTTAAAAAAAATCTTTGTAAGGATTATTGTATAAATTTAAATATTTTATCTAAAAATTACTAAGAATAAGATATACCATATAAATAATTATTCTTCATCATATATAAAAAGATCAATGTATAATATCACACAATATAATGTAATATAATTTAACATGTGTTTGTTTGTTTAATAAATGAATTTCAATTTTTCAATGTACCTTTATAATATATACTATTATAACAAGCTATGTTAAATAGATGTTAAATGTTTTTGGGATTACCCACTAGATTAAATGTTATTTAAATCAATTAAAACAACACTAATTTTATACAAAGACAACTTGACAATGGGCTAGAAACTAAAACTTATAATTTTTAAAAAGAACCAATATTTAAATCTTGTAATAATTTATAAATCAGCTAAAAAAATTTAATTACTTAATTTTACAATGTTTAGATTAAAAGAAATTCTTTAAAACTTATAAGACTTGATGATATTACAATGATAATTTTAAATATTTTTCTTTATTTTCTAACTTTAAAATATGCATGAATCAACATTGACAACTATATTTTAAACAAATCTAAATAAATGTAAAGACCACTTTATAACTCATTAATGAAGTTTTATATTCATAATATAAAAAAATATGAATGCTACAATAATATTGCTGGTTATTATAAGACAGGCCAATATTTAAAAATAAAAAAATTATTAATTCAGATCTTATGGTCTCATGAAAAAATCTACATATTTTAGAATTTAAATTTCAAGGATTATAAAATTGATGATCATTTCATTGTTAACAATAGTATAAATAAAAAGCAATCACCTGCATAGATCCCATTTTTAAGCTGAGCACTATTAAACTAATATTGATTTAAAATGTTCTCTTTAGCCCAGTTTTTAAAATTTAATTGTACACTATTTAGACCTATAGGTTACCAGGTGATGCAAGACTCACCCTATTTATAACTTATATTTTTGTATGCTTAAATTGATAGAAAAAAAATAAAAATGTGCTAAACATTATAATAATTTTTTACTATTATTTATATCTACTTGATCCAAGATGTCAAAATATATTTAATTAAGCTTCTAAGCTTATGAAAAAATGATCAAAATACAGATCCAAATTATAGATAAGGCTCAAATATTATGCTTATATTATAGAAATAGCTTGAAGGCATTCCATCCTATGTATGCTTCCCAAGATTAAGCTAATTAGTGTGTAAGTCTGAGTTTACCATTTTAAAATTTGATTGGAATATAACTGAAAGCCAATTTATTTCAGATTAAGGTAAGTTTTAGGCCAAGAAATTTAGGCCTTACAGATTTTAGAATCTAAAGATACATGTTTAACTACATATGGCAGTAAACATATGGATAAAATTGGAACATGCATGCCAGAGATTCTATAAAACCTTACCAAATTAAGGTGAGTTGTTTAGAATTATTTAACATGTTATTAACTAGGTTTGTATCATGTTTTGAATTTACCAAAAAATCATGGAAACCACAGCTATTTCATAAATTTAAAGTGGGTTGAATTCTGTCATTACTTTTGGCCAGTTGATCATATTTTCCATAACAAATATTCAATTTCCCTTTGTAATAAATAATATTTGAATCAGTTAGAATCTTTTCGCATAACAACATCAGAATTATATAATGAGAAGCACAATTTTTTTTAAAATTTCATCATTCCCTAAAAACATAATATTGAGTTAGTCTTTATATAATTAAAATATTTTCAAGATTCTCTTCTGCTGTCAGAATATATATATGGTGAATTCCATATCAAATCAGCCAAGGTTTCAACACGACCCCCTTCAATTTTTCTTAAATGTATACTGGTAGTATATACTATAACTAAGAAAAAAATGAAATTTTACCTTCCAACACTGTTTGCCCGCTAAGATATGGCCGTTTAAAGCGCGGAAAAATGGTACATTTTTGACAAAATGCACCTCATTTATTTTCAAATATCTTGAAAAATAATTATGTTAGAAAAATAATTAAAATTTTATTTTGTAGCTTAATAAAAGTTCTTTAAAATGACATAAAAATAAAAATGATAGACATTTTGTTAATTCAAAAACCGGATGTGTAAAACCGGAAATGGCCATAGAAAAAAAAGGTATTTTTTTCAAATTTTTTTTTCTGTAGATAGATATCACACTGCTTTATATCAAAATCCTAGACTGGGATGAACATGAGTTTAGGAGTTATCACTTTTTATATGGCTAAAATTGAACAAATTTAACATTAATTTCATCATATTTTAATTTAATGAATAGTTATGAAATAATGTTAATTTAAAAATTATGTCTAAATAACAGGCCCTTACTTTTTTTTATCTTTATCAAAAATTTGAGAAGTGGCTGGAATAATGAGCTTTGTTTAACACTTTAGTTAAATTTTGTCTTGAAGTTACTTGACTAAATAATTCTAAACATATTTATAACTTTATTTGCCTCAAATTGCATTACATATAATACAATCAAAAATTTATAATTAAAATATATCATATATTATAATCATCCAAGAAATTTTAATAAATTATGACTTCTGTTTTCGTCAGTGGAATAAAAGCTTGGAACTTTGTGTTCCAGAAATTCTCTTTGCTCTCAAAAACCTGCTTTCAAGATGACTTTCTATGTTCATATCGTTATTGCTCACAAATATATAATTTACCCCATAGATATTATTTCTTGCATAGTTAAATAAATCTATTGTTGTCAATATGTAATGTTCATGGACGTTGAAAGCTTGCTCGAGCTGCTAACCGTTTAGTAACGGCCCCCAAAATGTCGCATGGACTTTTACCTTGTGCGGTTTCAAAAAATGTCACTCAGCCTTTATCCCAAAATCATTTTCATGATTGTAGAGATTAATGAAATCTTTTATTTTTATATTGGTTACTGCTCCAGCAGAAAAATAATAAATTTAACCACTCTATTAAATCTTTCCTTCAAGAATACGATCAATTTTTAAAATAAATAAAATGCACATGCGTTGTGCTTTAAACAATCTGATATAACCAATAAATTTACATGTTTTATTATGTTGTTCTCACGGTAATAAATTATAAAAGAGTTATTAGTGGCTTGATTATTGGTCTGAATCCTTGTGCATGGTTCTGCACTACAAATGCATAGTTTTCTGAAAAGTCTGCAATAACTAAGACATTGGCGTACCCAGCAAGGGGGGGGCAGGGAGACAAATCCCCCCCCCCCCCCCCCAAAGCCAAAATGCAGATGCCATACATATTTTTCAAAATATTATTTTTTATATTTTATTATAATTATTCATATCTATTTCTTTTTAAATTTTTATATTATTACCTTTTTCATTTACTAATTTACTTTATCAATTAATTTCATTTTCAAGTTTTCTTTGTGGCGTAATATTTATCTATTATTTTTAAATTTCCCGGTATTATAATTTTCAAATTTCTAGTCATGGATATTAGACTTTTTTTAAAAAACGCTGAAGGTGAAAATAATGCCAAAAAGCAAAAAAGTATAGTATGATAATTTAATAAGCAAAAGCTGTGAACTGATGATTTCCTCAAAAGAATCAATTCAAAAGGGGGATATGATTCCCATTTCATAATAATTGATAAAAATAGGGTTAAAATTGCAAAAGAAAATAGAGGCAAGATAAAATTAACTATTGAGGCTATTTTATATTGTGGCTTGCAAGGCCTAGAACTTCGTGGCCACAAGGATTCAGGAAGCTTAAATTTTAATAATAATGATAACAAAGGTAATTTCCGTGGACTTTTAAAATTTAAAGCATTAGGAGATCCTGTATTAATGGAGAGCCTCATTAGTACCAATAAAAATGCCCTAGGATATAAAATGAGATAATTGATATTTGCAACAATATCATTTTAGAAAAATTGATTGTTGAAATCAATTCTGCCCCATGCTTCTCAATTTTGGCAGATGAGACCACGGACATTGCTGGCATTGAGCAGATGTTGTTGTGTGCGCTATATGTAGATACTCATAAAAACATTATCAAGGAAATGTTTCTCCAATTTATTCCTGTTTCAAGCATGACTGGGTCTGCTTTAGCTGATGTAATATTTGTGAATCTTAAAAAATTAAAAGTAATAATAAATCTTATTATATAATTATTTTAAAAAATATAGCTAAATATAAATATGATACGTGGGCAAGGGTATGATGGAGCACGTGCAATGAGTGGACAATTCAATGGGCTTCAGGCATTTATTTAAAAAAAATGCCCAACAGCTATATATGTCCACTGTGCTGCCCATTCGCTCAACTTAGCAATATAGGATTCATGTTCTTTACCATTGATATCAAATTGCTTAGGTTTTTAATTATTAAATTAAATATTTTATATTTATATCAGGTAAAATATCTAGCATCTATGAGATGTTTAGATACCCCAAGCGTCAAAATATTTTGAACAGAATTATATCTGAAACTCCTTGCCCAACAAGGAGAAAAAAATTGCAAAAAGCTTGTCCAACAAGATGGAGTCTTCGACATCGAGTAGTAACAGCTTTTATCGAGTTAGAAGAGCCGATTATTAATGCTCTTATAGAAATATCACAATGTCTGAAAAAGATATTTCTTCAGAAGCAAGCAAGTTACTGGATTCAATACTTATACCAAATTTTTTTTTCGCATTAGAATGTATTAATAAATTATTTAATTATACAACTATTTTATGTAATACTTTTCAAAAACCTGATATTGATTTGATTGAGATGATGAGAATAGCAGAGACAAAGAACTCAATGAAATTAGAGCTAATGTTGATGAGGAATTTTATATTTTATATGTTAATGTTGAATCAAAAGCAGAGCTATGCGAGTTCAATATTTGTCTCCCACGACTTACAGTAAGGCAAACTTATCGTCCAAATATTAATATAGGGTCAATAGAAGAATATTATAAAATAAATGTCTTTATACCTCTTTTGGATACATTTATAACCCAAGTAAATGAAAGGTTTTTAATCAAGAAACACTTATCAATCTGCAGATATTACTTCCGCAAAAGCCCTCTGAACCTTATTCAGATGGTGATAGAAAAAAAATAAAATATTTGGAAGATTTTTATCATGAAGACATTAATGTATCTCATGATGCTTTATTAGCTGAATGCCAACTATGGTATAAAAGATTAACTATGGTTGATATAGTCCCAAAAAATGCTATGATGCTTTGCATCATTTCAAACATCTTTTAGAATATTTTCCCAATATATTGAAATTATTATATATATTAGCAACTCTTCCCATTAGTACTGCAACTAATGAGAGAACATTCTCTTCTTTAAGAAGATTAAAAACGTACCTAAGTACAACTTCTGAAAGTAGGTTGAATGGTCTGGCCCTTTTGAATATTCATAGGCATTTGACGCCAAACACGGATGAGATAATTGAAAAATTAGCTCCCTCCCAACGAAGATTGGATTTTACATAATAAAAATATAATGTTTCTATAATATTTTTTGTGCTATCATTTTTTAATGTCTTATATATTTTTCTTTTACATAAAAAATATAATTATTCATATTTCCAACATTTAAAGCTCAAAAAAATTTAAATTTCTATTATGGATTATTTATTTTATAGTCATCATATCCTGGTTATATCCACTTAATATTTTATAATTCAGATTTATTTAAAGTATTTATATGCCGCCGGTTATATTCGTTTAATATTTTTTAAATCAAATTTATTTTTATATATCGGTTTATATATTTAATTTTTTATAATTCATATTAATTTAAATTTGTATATTAGAAATAGTTATTAGTCCTAATAAATTTATGCTTGATATTTTTAAATAACAATAATTTTATTTAAAAAAATTGTAATTATCCCCCCCCCCCCACACCAAATTCCTACGTACGCTACTGAACTAAGAATTCACCAACATTTAAATTGAATTTTAAAAAGTTTCGAATTAATTATTATCGTGAAGCTATAAACAAATGAGGAATTAAATTGTTTAATTATTCAATTAAATAATATACAAATTCGTCAGCGGATTTTGTCAGTGTTTCGAGGGTAGTTCGATCAACTGCTATCCATTGTTTGAATGTTTTATAATCTATAATTCTCGTCAAATAATATATTAAGCCTTTCTTTAATTTTGAATATATGGGGGAAAATTTATTGTTGAATTTCAATTTTGGTAGATTATTTTATGCTAAATAAAATATTTAAAATTATTTTGTCAAGTAATTTTAATTTCGAGATAAAATTTAACTAAAGTTCTAAACAGCTCATTATCCCAGCCACTTCTCAAATTTTTTTTATAAAGATAAAAAAAGTAAGGGCCTATCATTTAGACATAAATTTTAAATTAACATTATTTCATAACTATTCATTAAATTAAAATATGATGATATTAATGTTAAATTTGTTCAATTTTAGCCATATAAAGAGTGATAACTCCTAAACTCATGTTCATCCCAGTCTAGGATTTTGTACAAATATAAAGCAGTGTATCTATCTACAGAAAAATTTCCGGTTTTACACATCCGGTTTTCGATATTAATAAAATGTCTATCATTTTTATTTTTATATCATTTTAAAGAACTTTTATTAAGCTACAAAATAAAATTTTAATTATTTTTCTAACATAATTATTTTTCGAGATATTTGAAAATAAATGAGGTGCATTTTGTCAAAAATGTGCCATTTTTCCGCGCTTTAAACGGCCATATCTTAGCGGGTAAACAGTGTTGGAAGGTAAAATTTCATTTTTTTTCTTAGTTATAGTATATATTACCAGTATACAAAATTTAAAAAAAATTGAAGGGGGTCGGGTTGAAAATCGACTTTTTCTTGATATGGAATTAATTTCATCATATATTAGTTAAAAGAATAACCTCTATGAGTGAGAATACCTCTATCCACTAATTTGAGTAACTGGCAATTAGGACTGTGACGATATTAAAGGACCGATCGGCACCGATATTTAGCGTTTTCCAAAAATATCGGATCAGGCCGATGCCTGTAAAAACCGATCCGATCTTTTTACTTTACTTTTCTTTTTTTTTGTTATTTTATGTATATTTATTTTACATTAATAATTTTTTTTCTAAATATTTTTTTTTTAAACAATGCAAATGCACAACACTTTTTAAATTTTATTTATTTTTTAAAATAGATTTATAGTATTTTAAAATTTTTATAAAAATAAAAAGAACACCAGTTTTATTTATTTTAAATCTTTTTAAATAATAACGCCAATTTTATTATTTATATTTTAAATAAAAGAATTTTTTTAAATATGGTATCTTAATTATGGAAATATTTTGCAAAAGACATAGATAATTTTGCAAAATGCGTTTTCTGCGGAATTCTAACGGGGAGGAATAGAGAAAAATTCATTTAATACTATCAATATCTTTAAACTTTTTTTAATTATTGTAGAAATAAAAAAATAAAGTTAAATGCATAATTCGATTTTTTGCATAAGAAATATTGATTTCTTAATTACAAAGGGGGATGGTAAAAAATCAAGATAAATATCGGATCGGGTTCGAACCAATATTGGAAAATATCGGATCGGTGAAAAATATGTGGATCGGCACAGCCCTACTGGTAACCATCCAGAGTTGGTCAGGTCTTCCAGAAAAAGAATCTAAACAGATTCTTTGTGAAAAAAGGAATCTTAGATACTGATATTAGTATCTTTTTCAAAATATCGAGATACTTTTAAATTATCATTACCAATTAAATTAGAATATTTTATAAAATACAGTTTTTAATAATTATTTGTGAAACATAAAACACATATAATAAGAATGAATATTTGCAATAATTAATAAAACATTTAATGATGAGTTAATTATAATAATCAGGTATTTTATTGTTGGTATTAGCCCATTCTTAGCATAGATTTATAAGAGAAACTAGTATTTTTAATGGGATTTGAAATATTAATTTGCAAAAGAATATTTAAAATAAATTCAGTATATTAGATAATCGAATTTTTCAAATAATTTATCATTAGACCTTTGCCGTTTCTGCGTACTTAACATTGTACCAAAACTGTTATGTGGGTCGTTTTTTTAAAAAATGTTAAATTGTGAATTCATTCATTTTTGTTGATGAATATTTTTTTTGATTATTTGCACAATTATTCTTTTAATAAATTATTATTATTTTTTTTAAAGAAATAAAACGGATTAATTATAAATTTTTTATGTCATATGTTTGTAAATTAATTATATTATTAATCAATATATATAGATATAAAAAGAGAAAAAAAACGAAATAAAATCATTGTTTCCTTCCAATTTTTTTGTATATTATTTTATTCAGAAATTATTATTGAAAAAGATACAAGATACTTTTCAAAATAAAGGATCTTAGATACAGATACTATTATCTTATTAAAAATGTTAATAAGATACTGAGTACACAAAAGGATCTCTTAGATACAAGTATTCACGGTACTGCCCGATAGTGTTGTTAAACGACTCTTTTTGAGCCGATTTAAAAAAACGGATATCTCATTATTTCATCCAGAAAAATATTACGCAAACCTGAAGATTTTGCTCATAGAAGGAACAAAGGTTTAGACATATATTATCGAAATCTCGAACCTTAGGCAATATTTTTCTGGTTAAAATATTGAGTTAGCCGTTTTAAAAAATCAGCTCAAAATGAGCCGTTTATTAACACTAATGCCCAACTCTGCAACCATCATATAGAAATATACAAAAATATCTAAAAAGAACAGTTGCTCTTACTTATCAATCAAAATTTATTTTTAATAATCTTTAAAAAGGGTCAGGATATCAAGAGGTTCTACCCGATACATTTTTAGAGGCTTAGATGATTAAACTTTTAATGTGTCAGTTTAGGTAAAACGGTTAATACCGGTTTAATAGCTCAGTTTTGGTATGGATCCCAAATTTTAGGCTCTCAAAATCTTGCATCTTATTTTGCCATTTCCACAAAAAGTAACCAATGAAGATGGATATGATACAATTTACCCAAATATATTTTTACTTAATTTGTTCATATTATATCGTTGCTAAAAACACTTGGAATTTCTAGAATCTTAATCATAATATGTCAAAATCTTATATACATCAGGATGCCTGTTATTCACAATTATAAATATTACAGGAGTTATTTATTTTTTTTATCTTATCTTGTAATTTTTATTCGAAATTTTTTTCAAGTGCCAATCAATTGGACCACGTAATGTTCCGAATGGGTATTTTAGCTGTACTCTATGCTAACTACACTAAAAGTAAAATTAATTTAATAAAATAATACTGAAATAGAGTAGTTCATAAACCAATTTATCTTGATTAGGTTGTTAAACTAACTAAGCTACTTTTTTATATGAGCTGGAATTTAAATTTAGCATTAATAGATAATTAGTAGTCACTTATAAACAAGTATAGTTGGGTAATCTATATTTTTAGCCGTTTAAGCTAAACCAAGTTTTTAGCCGAAATTTATCACTTTGACCTCGGGATTTTTTATAGAAAGATAGCCGCTAAAATTTGTAAGGAACTAATATAAATTAAAACGCCTTATAGTTATGTTGTATTCCATATCAAATCAACTGAAGATTCAACCCGACCCTCTTCGATTTTTTTTAAAATTTGCATGATGGTAGTATATACACTAACTAGCAATAATATAAAATTTTAATTCTCAACTCAGCTTACTTCATGAGATATGGCCATCTTTAGAAACGCGAAAAATTCAAAATACACCATATTTAATTTTAAATATCTCAAAAAGTAATTAAGCTAAAGGTATAATTTAAACTTTATTAAATAACTCTAGAATAGCCCTTTAATATGATATAAAATTTATTATATTAAAAATAATTTTATTACCAAAAACTGGAAATAGAAAACCGGAAATGGTTATAAAATAAAAATTGCCCTTTTTTTTCTTTTAAATTTTTTTAACAAATAGACATATATCTTAATATTTGTACAAAATCCTAGATTGGGACCATTACTGGGCCAATAGTTATTACGCTTTAAATATAAATAGTATGGCTTAAATTCTATATTATACGAAATGAGTAATTATTTTTTTAACAAAAGTGATAATATTTGTGAATAATAGTATTAAAACTGAAATCCGAACCCCATCTTAAGATTTATATTCGCCCCCCCCCCAAAAAAAAAATTTCCTTAAATTATAGATTTTTGACCTGGCAATTCTATGAGTGAATTATGTAGATTATTTTCTTTACCGGATAAAAAATTATCTTTGTGATCGTCAGAAATATATTTTCATAAAGATTATTTTCTACATAATTAATTATCAAATAAAATAATTATCATAAAAATCAAATTCAATTCCAACAGCAACAGCCGTCATTTTTATTGATTAATTTTATAAAGCCATTTTTCTAAGAAAATTAAATTATCGGTATTCATTGTCCAATTTATTTTTAATTTAAAATAATTATATAAAATTAATAGCTATCTTTTATTCCTTACCAAAAAAATTTAAATGTCTAGAAAAGTTATTTCTATTCCAGTAAAGTGCTGTAATCCCTTTAGAATAAAATCTCATTCAGTACGTTACGATCTTAGAAATGTTTTACAATGGATGATAGAAGTGAATTCTAGCTTATCAATTAATCAAAAAATTTGTAGCTCTTGCCGGAAAAAATTAAAAAAATATTCAACAAATCTGATCTCACCTTTTACTTCTACGATCCCGATCACATTACCTTCTATTTCTAACTTACCTTCTACCTCAACTAGTAATGAAACATTTAGCGATTCTGAACCTGATCAACCATGCAATAATCCCGACTCTTATACAGATTTTAATACTTCAATTTCAACTCTAAATGAAACTTTGCATTTTTAGGGGAGACACCTATTAAAAAGAAAAAATATTCTGTAAATAAATTTTTGAAAATTCAGGGAAAAATTAAAAAAGTTTAAAATAAATCTAGAGGATCAAGCAAAAAAAGATGAAGCCGAAATCATAAATCAACTGAAAGAAAAATTTGCTACAAGTTCTCGCAATGAAAAAAATACAAATTTTAACAGTTTTACCAAAATCTTGGACTCTTGATAAAATTGAAAAGGAATTTTCAACCACAAATTTTATGGCCCGGACAGCTAAACAATTAGTTGAAGAAAAGGGTGTTTTGTCAAACCCAAATATCATAAAACCAAGTAGAATAATTCCGGATGACATTGCAAATAAAGTAATAGAATTTTATAATTCTGACGAAAACAGCAGACTTATGCCAGGTATGAATAATTTTATATCAATGAAAGTTAATGGAAAAAGGAACCAAGCCATTTGATAGTAATATAAATAATTAGCTAAATAGTTATAAATATTTTTACAATTATATTCTCTCTAAAATAAAATCGCTAAACTTATATGTTAAATATGACATAATGTTTACTAGTGGGCTCACAGCCCGAAACATTTATAAAAAAAATATAATCGGCCCGATCATAAAGGAATTTTCTTTTTATTTGTTTCGTAAATTACTATATATTTGGTATAATATAGGATTTAAGCCATACTATTTATATTTAAAGCGTAATAACTATTGGCCCAGTAATGGTCCCAATCTAAAATTTTGTACAAATATTAAGAAGTATAATGTCTATTTGTAAAAAAAATTATAAAGAAAAAAAGAGCAATTTTTATTTTATAGCTATTTCCGGTTTTTGGTAATTTTTATTAATAAAATAATTTTTATATCATATTAAAGGGCTATTCTAGAGCTATTTAATAAAATTTAAATCATGCCTTCAGCTTAATTACTTTTTGAGATATTTAACATTAAATATACTGTATTTTGGAATTTTCGCGTTTCTAAAGATGCCCATATCTCATGAAGTAAGCCGATTTGAAAAGTAAAATTTTACATTTTTATTAGTTAGTGTATATACTACCAACATACAAATTTTTTAAAAAATCGAAGGGGGTCGGGTTGAGAATCGACTTTTTTTGGTTGATTTAATATGGAATACAACATAGTTATTGTTAACAGTTTTCTCCGGTAGGCGCCTGAAGATTGAGTCGAATTAGCCGACATTAAGCCATTACCCAACTATATAACAAGTTAGTCTTAGCTTGCCAATTTTTAGGTAAAAATATCTAACTAGTTACCCTTAAGGGTTTTTAATGCAACTTTTAACTTAAAAAAATGAAAGGTAACTAGACTTGAATTTTTTTACAAGTTATTCAAATTCGTTTATTTTTGATAAATGTAACAAGTACTTTTTAATGATGTAAATTGTAACTAACGAAAAGTAACCTTCACAACACTATGGAAGGTGAACAAAATTTTTATTGATAGTCATATTCTCTTTTAGAGATTTTTGATATTACGATTTTTATGTAAATCTTCATGGCATTGCCATTGTCTATCCTCATTCCTGCCAATTTTATTTTTATACCTATATACTAGGTTTGGCCTATTTAAATCACCCCGATTTTTTAAAATCAATTGATAAAATTTAAAATAATGAAAGATAAGGACTTATTAAGCAAAATCTAAATTAAATAACCAAATTGCACCAGCATTCACCACTTGTTAGACAAAAAAGTTTATTTGCTATTTCAATTTTTGACATAGTAGAAAAATAGCTGCTGATTCTAACGGCAATAGTGAAAAATTATTTAATATTCTAAATGACGAAGAAACCTATATCAAAAATCTACACATATCTAAAAAAAAAATTTATTTCTTTATAATAAAAAAAATAATCAATTAGTTTGTAAAATTAAGAAATAACATATATTAAAAATCACAAGTAATATCTATATCGCCGACATTGGTATTAGAAATTGTTTAAATAAAAAAAACTAATTTTTCTCCCTTTTCTGTTCCTAAATTTCCTAAGCTGCAAGCGAACAACTCCAAACTATAAGAATAATCTCTCGACTGAAGTGGGTGGTGAAGATGTAGTAAATAGTTATTATTATTTTTAATATTTACATCCTACATCGACCACCCACCATTCAATTAGGTCTACTTTATCTAATATATTTTCTGAAAACATAATATCAGTAAATGGCCTGATCTTGCTTGAAACTTTACCAAAATAAAATGTCAATGTTTGAATTCAGAAGCCCCCCGTATTCCATTGTCGTTTACATTTCATTGATTGTTAAATTTAAATATTTTAGGTTTAAAAGGTATGGATAAGAAGTGTACAGGAGTTAAAGCTTGATTGTATCGTTAAAGGATGGAAGTTGATTACTACTTATTTTTATTAGCATGTAAGGTGGTGAAAAACTTTTTCAAATTCTACCAACAATTGGAAGTTTTAAAATGGGCTAATTCTTAACCAGTTGAAAAATAGCAGTAGCTAATGTTAGTTTGAAAGAATTAATTTTCATTTGGTATTTTTATTTGAATCAGAAAATTCTACAATAAATTTATTTAGCAATCTCAGCTGACCTTTTTTAAACACCGATATTGGTAGTTAAATTTTTTAAAAAATTACTGTATATTATATATATCATCGGCTCTTTAATTGAAAAAATATCAAAATCATTATTTAATTTTCAACAATTTCCTGACTTGTTCCCTTGAGCATTAATCCTTTACTTGCAAGATAAAATTTAAAAAAAATTTTTTACAATCTTAGAAAAATCGATTTTTTGATTTTCTATAAAAATATTACGATCTTTGTCAACCCAACTATATGCTAATGTTATTAAAAACATCAATTACCTTATAAATAACATTTAGATCCACGCATTGCTAAATTCTGCCCCCCCCCAACAAATTTTTCAAAGAACAAACCTGATAAAGAAATAGTATACATCAACATCTTGTCTCTAATATGACCACCTCCAGAATTCTCAATAGATCTTAATATTATGGACATAGTCTTTGCAACTCACCGCTATATTTAATTTATGCCGTGTCTTTATAAAAGCGCCAATGCCTTTAATTCACTAAAAACAGTATAGGCTGCATCACTGATTCTATAACTTTAGCGTAAAGGCTGATATTTATATTCTACAGTCATAACTACAGCTAAACTATTGGCTCAGCACTTCCTCCAACTAACGCTTACCATGTAATCTTCCTTGAGCCTCCATCGATCGAATATGGGTTCCTCTTATAGTATATTCTTTTTTTTAAACGTGCACTTTATGTTCTAGGTATTGATTTTCGCGTTATATTTTTAATATTATTGGGTGGTAATTCCATACCAAATCGATAACTTTTCGGCCCAACCTTTTTAATTTCGACAAAATTTTGTATGCTGAGAGAATATCATTTGA